TCTTGTCTTGGTGAATTCCCTCAGTCTTTGCTTATCTGAGAATGTCTTGATTTCTCCTTCATATACAAAACTTAGTTTTGCAGGGAATAAAATTCTAGGCTGAGCATTGTTCTGTTTCAGAAGAGTGAGAATGGGGCCCCAGTCTCTCCTTGTTTGTAATGTCTCAGTAGAGAAATCTTGTGTTATTCGAATTGGCTTTCCCTTGTATGTTACTTGCTTGTTTCGTCTTACAGCTCTTAGAAGGGCCTCTTTAGTTGATATTTTGGTCAGTCTAATGACTGCATGTTGTGACATATTCCTGTTTACATTGAATCTCCCAGGGGTCCTCTGAGCTTCTTAAACTCGTATATTGGGATTTTAGCAAGGCCTGGGAAATTTTCCTCTATTATATCTTCAAATAGCTTGTCCAACCCTTGAGTGTTTTCTTTTTCCCCTTCTAGCAACCCGATGATCCTCACATTAGGTTTCTTCACATAATCCCACATCTCTTGTATGCTTTGCTCTTTTTTCTTGTTCCTCTGCTCTATCTCTGTGACTGATTTATTTAATTGGAGGGTGTTATCTTCAGTCTCTGAGATTCTTTCTTCTGTTTGATCTACCCTATTCTTGAGGCTTTCCACTGAATTTTGTATTTCCCTGAATTGATTCTTCATTTCCAGGAGTTCAGCTAAACTTTTCTTCATTGTATCAATTTCTTTAGTGAATTTTGTTTCCAGGTCCTGGAGTCTTTTTGTGTTTATTTTGTGTTGGTTATCCAGTTGTTCTTGCAGGTCATTGAATTTTCTTATGATCCACATTTGAAATTCATCTTCTGTCATTTTGGTTGCCTGATTTTGGTTGGTGTCCCTTTCTAAGGGGCTGGTGGTCCTCTTTGGGGGTGTGGTTTCCATTTGGTTCTTCATATTTCCGGTGTTCCTTCGCTGATTTCTTCCCATCTGGATCAGTTGTTGCTTCTTTCCTTTAGGTTTTCATTTGTATATTGACATGCCTTGTTTAGTCTCTGAGCCAGTAGGTGGTGTTTGTAGGTGAGATTCGACCACACCCTGTATGATGAGTCAGTAGGTGCCGTGAATAGGGTATGCAGAATGTCCTCCCTGTCAGTTGGTGATGCTTGCTCGGAGGAACAGGCTACACTGTTGCTTTTGGGTCTTGTATCCAGTTCTTGTTCCTCTGGAGAGGCACTCTAGTTCCTCTGGTGGTCAGTGGGGCTCTGGGACTTCCAGGTGTGTCCTTTTCTCCCTCTCAATGAGGGCTGGTCTGGGAGTGAGTCTGGGTGGACCTGGGTTGGGTAAGCCTGCCCCGAGGCACCACCAATGCTGTTAGCAGGGGTCAAAGTTCTGTTCTCTGCTTCCGGGAAAAGCTGTCAGGGAGGGGCCTGGAATGGCCTTGCTCAGTCAGAAAGTCTGTGTGTGTGGATGGGGCTGTCTGAGACCCTCAATCTGGAGTGGGCCTCGCTTCTTTCCACCCTCCCCAACTTCACAGCTACTTCTGGGCCTCTGCCAGCAGGCCAGACCTCAGCCACCGGGCCTCCCCTGGGTATGATGCAAGCTGGGAGATTCCCTGTGCAGGATCGCCACCTGGGCTGGGTTCACAGACCCTGGTGGAAGAAGGGTTGCCTTAAAGGATGCTGATCTGCCCCTGAAGACACACACACCTCAGTAGGCTGTTCACGTATATCCCTTCTGTGCCCTGGGCAATGCGAGACCTGGGTGCATGGGTTCTGGTCCTCAGGTCTGACCTTTGGGCTCCAGAGTTCAATCCCTAACCCCACCAGGGAAAGGAGGGCCAGTCCCAATTCTCCCACGGGGAGCCCAAGCTGGGTTGATGTCTCTCAGCCTCAGGGTCTGCCCTGTTTTTCTGGGATCACCGTGCCAGCAGCACCTGAGAGGGCTGGTGGGTAGTGAGCTCATAGTCTGAGTGCCCCTCAGTCAGCTGTAGGGCCCTAAAAGGGAAGGTCCCATTCCCTAGAGGTGCCTCCGGCTGGTGGCTATATCATCTCTCTCTCGGCAGCCCAAATAGGGATGGGGGAGGGGAGAATGAGGCAGTATGGCATCTGCCGCATGGCTCGGGTCTGTGCACAGGGAGATTGCCCGAGGGAGTTGGGAGCCTGGTGCCATATCCGCTACAGGCTTATTGCCCGCTGGCGGTGGCTGTCTCTGGGCTGGTGTCCATAGGTCTCACCAACCACGGGGGGCCCACTAGCAGTCTGAGATGCAAGGGAGGGGAGAGTTAACCGCTCCACCTACCCTTGCTGCTGGTCTCCAGACTACTCAGGAGGTGTCTGATTCCAGTTTTCCTCCGCAACCTCCTCCTGTGGTCTCTGGTACCCCTCCTTCTGACCCTCCTCCGATGTATGCTCGTCTGTTTGCTTCTTTCTTCTGATTTCTCCTAGGATCTGTCTTTTCTGCAGAGATACTCTGTCTGGCGGTGTTTCTCGTCCGCCATCTTGATTCTCGAGTAGGCTTGTATGAACCCATACTTCTTGAGAAGGCTTTCCAGATATTCAAAGGGATCTAACTCTTTGGTCACTGTAGGCATATCAGCACTAGGGGTGCCCCAAGCCAAGTAATGCTGTGGCTGTTGCAGACTCCTGGTGGTACTGCCATGGTAGACTGTAGTAAGACACAGGAGAATTACCTGGATTATTAGGGAAAGTCTCTAAACCTCTTCCCTCATTCTCTGTGCTGGGCTGCTGGCATTAGGGGAAGATGATGTGTGGTAACTGCCTCATGGCCACCATAGCTGGGACTGTGCCAGGTCACTCCTGAAGCCAGCCCAGTCTCAATTAAAGCCCATGGCAACTGTTGCCTGGCTACCTTTGTTTATTCAAAGCCAAAGGGCTCTTTAGTCAGAAGTTGGTGAATCCTGCCAGGACTAGGCCCTTCCCTTCAGGGGAGCAGGTTCCCTTCTTGCCCAGGATAGGTCTAGAAATGCCATCTGGGAACTAAGACCTAGAATCAGGGACCTCAGGAGTCTGCTTGGGAGTTATTTTACTATGGCCGAAGTGGTACTCAAAACAAAGTCCTGTCAACTTTTCACTTTCCTCTCCCTAAGTGGAAGGAGACACTTCCCAAGTTGCACTGCCTGGAGTTCAGAGAGGAATGACACAGGCACGCACTCAGCCACCTCTGCTGGTGTCTCACTGGGTCACGTGCATCTCATGTCCACTGGCTCCAGGCCAGCACAGCCTCAAGACTTGCCCCAGGACTGCAGTCTGCATGGTCTAACTGCTCTATACATTTGTTCCAGGCCCAGGCTGCTTTCCGCAGCCCCTGGTTGAACTAGCAGTAACTCAGATTTCTACTGCTGGGGTGGAGGATTCCACTCTAACCATGCTGGTCTAAATGACTCTGCTGTGGGCACCAGCAGAACTGTGCCGTGTGCTGTGCCCCCTGTGCCAGGGTGGCCTTGGGTTTCAGGGCAAGTCTCACAGTCACTTCACTCTCCTTGCACTGCTCACACAGACTCTCCCTGCACTGGGGGCTGGTGCTGGGTTGGGGGAGTGGCACGGGCAACGCAAGGTTGTCTCGGCTGGACCTCTTCTGGATAGAATGTTGAAACCAGGTACTGTGATTGCTCACCTGATTTTTAGTTCTTCTGAAGGTGCTTGCTTGCACGGACAGTTGTTGACTTTGATGTTCCTGCAGGAGAACCATCGTTGGAGGGCTCTATTTGGCCACCTTGCTCTGCCCTCAATTTCTCAGTTTTTTCTTTTTTAAAACATTGAGATTTACTCTATAATTCAAAAAAATTTATAAATACACTTTATTTCCAAATATAATTTTAAATAATGAGAAAATAGGTTCAATATGCCAGGATATAATATTATGCTGTGGCTCGGGCTTTATACTAATTATCAAAGACACAATGCTGAGACGTGCCAGAGAATTGGGATCAATGAGGGAAGCAAGGCCAAGGACACCATGAACCCCATCAACAGGAAGCAGCCACAACTTCCACCCCAGCCTCTTGGATTTCCATATGGACATGGACTTAGTTTTGCCAGATATCCTAATTTTCAACAGAAGTTGAAAATCTGGATTTTTATATAAAAATTTTATTAGTGTCTAAGTGTTGGCAACTAATTTTATTAAAATATAAAAGTGACAGAATATTTAAATACCTGTAGGCCATGTGTGGTTCATACATCACCAGCTTGCTTTATATTTTTCAGTACCTCACAAATGTCTCCAAAGGGAACATGCATCCTTTTTAAAAAGCCACGAGCCTATTATGATCTTAACCACTTCAGTACGGCACTCACTGGCCACGAAACCTTGCCCACAGCCGGCACTTGTAGTCCGCCCCATAGGTTGTGCTGTGCATTGACCACAAATCCGTTTTGCTCTTGTGTGATGCAGAAAGCTTTAAAGCACTGAAAGCTTGTTTCATTTACAGGCAGCTTTACTTATAATGTAAATCAGACTAGGTAACACACACATATGTTTTTATTACGTCATTTTAAATGCTCACAATTTTATCTTGATAAATGAAAAATTAGAAATGTCATAATCACAGCTGTCGGCTAAAGTCGACGTTCGGCTGTGCGCGTTCATCTGTGGCTGTCGACTATAGTCGACGCTAGTACCGAAGTTGTTAAAGAACAATAGAATCGAGAAAGTTGAGGATTTTACACATAAGGGAATCAATGTACTTTACCAGTCCACGAGGGAACCGTCTAAGAAAGTCTTGTTCAAGGACAGTGCTGGGCATAAAATTAGAACCACAATGTCAGTCCTTTTAGCGTATTAGCTATGCCATATTCCATATTTTTTCCATCTGTCTTGCTTTGTTTCATTTTTCTAATCCCTCTATCATGTGAATAAGAAGAAATGAAGGGAGTATTTCCAGATAAGGCAGGAAAGTTCATGGTCTCACCTGGGGATTTTGTCTGTAAGGTACAGAAATATTGCCTTTGATGCGAGGTTAGGCAAAGCTCCCCGAGATGCCATCTCCCCCTTCACTCACATTCCCATCCTCCCATGCTTTCGTCCCCACAGGTTGGCTTACTGCTACCTCAGTGAGCCTTGCTGGGAGTACCTCCACGAAGCTCTTCGGGATAACAAAAGCCTGCGCCATCTAGACCTCAGCGTGAACACCGTGAAGGATGAAGGAGTGACACTTCTCTGTGAGGCCCTGAGACGCCCAGACTGCTGTCTGCAGTCGCTGTGGTAGGTTTCTTTGAGGTCTCCTCTGAAGACCAGGCCTTGTTTTCAAGGCCTTGCATTGCACGGGGGCACCTGGAATGGAGAAAAAGGCCACAATGTCTGTGCCTGAAAAGGTGAAGGTTAAAAATTACTTGACCTAGATTCTTGTAGAGACGTTCTTGGGAACAAACTTGTGCCTCGACTTCTGTGTCACAGATTTAATGTGTTGTGTCATTCAGTGGAGGACACTTAAAGGACTAAGGGAGAGAGAAGAATCACGACTCGGGGCTGAGGGACAGTTTTGTGGCTCAGAAGATGCTTGGCATGTGTTCTGCAGGATGAACACATTTCATTAGGTGGAAAAGTAGAACCAAAATTCTAGGCAGAAGGGTAAAATGTGGAGGGTTGGGGACCCAGAAAAATACATTAACATCGATAAAACAGGGGATGTTTTAAAAGGGAAAAAAGGGTAGGAGGACAGTAATGAGAAAGAACATAATGAAAACACTTAATTTGAGAAATATTGAGAAATTGAGAAATATTAGGGTAACCTTGTAGTGGTGGTGGTGTTTTGGAGTCACCAGTTAGGGTAGTATTTCATTATCAGATGTCTCTTTCCCTGAGAAATTTGGAGACTTGTGGAATTAGGCAGAATGATTTTTACCTAGTCTATTAGGAAATATCAGAGTTTAGAAATTTGTATTCCTTATCTTGAAGAGTACGTTAAATAATTAAAGAGCCACACATATACTTTTTCTCACAATGGTGGGTTAGGATATCTGAGTCAATCTTTGAAATTGAAAGATCTTAAAAATGTCACATAAAACATTTTTTAAAACATTAAAAGCATCTAGAAACTAAAAAGAGATATTCTAAGTAGCAGGCTAGGTATAGAGCACTTTAGGTTGTCCAAAATCCTTAAGGTGTATTTAAAAAAATAACTTTAAACTAGTACCCAGTAGACACCTAGGAGGAGAAACTGCAAGTCCTCTCTGGAGACAGATCATAGGATGGGCATGATCCTTGACCTTGATTTATTCTGGAGAGGATCTTTTAAGGTCAATACCACACAGTTAAAATAACCTAAACCACAAGGATTTAAGTCACAATGAGCAAGAACAAGCCAAAGCAAAAATGCCTCACCAAGCTTCAGCTACTGGAGGGATTGGACTTATCTATAATACAAAGCAATTATACTTACTATGTTTAAAGAAAAAGAACAAGTTTAAATTCTCAGAAAAAAGAAAGCCATAAAATAAAATCTGCAAAAAAAGAATAAAATGGAACATCTAGAAATTATAAATATAATTGGTAGTAAAAACTTAATAGATGGGTTGAACAGTAGATTAGACATAAAGAAAAATGTTAATAAAACAGGATAAGTCATAATTATCTAGAAGGCAGCATGAAAAGAGAAAAAATGCTTAATGTATAAGAGATTATGAGATTTAGATGATAGAAGTCCTAACACATTTAATGGGAGTCTGAGGAAGATAAAATATTAAGGATAAACTTTTCTTATAACTGATGAAAGATTCCAATCCAGATTCAAGCATACAAATAGGTCTCTAACAGGACAAATAATGGAGAAACTGTAGAACACCGGAGATAAAGATGCGATCTTTAAAATCTAACATGGGGCTGGGAGGGGGAGCGATTCTATGTACAAGGCAGGAGAGGTGCGATTGGTGAAGAGGAGCAGTGAAAACCAGAAGGCAGGGCAATGAGAGATTCAACATGCTGGGGAGGAGGTGTCAATCTAAAATTTATAACCAGCAAAAATCATCGAGAATGAGGACAAAAACCTATTTTCAAAGAAATAAATTGTTTCCTATCATTGAATCTTTAATAAAGACAGTTCTAAAGACCATCCCTTAGAAGTAAATGATCCCAGATGAAGACACACGAAGCAAAGAAAGTGGTAAATCCGTAGATGAATCTAAACAAAATATGGGTTGTGTGTAAAAAAAAAAAAAAAAAAAAAAATCATCTTGAGGATTTCAAGGAAAAAACTAAAAATCTACAACAGGAATAACAAAGTGTTAATGGGTAAATTAAAGTAAATGTCCCAAGTTTCAGAAAGAAGTTGAAGGAATTGAATAATTGGAGATGATAGACTGAATGGGAATATAGAAGTTTCTATTCTAATGTACACTAAAAGAAAACCCAAAAGGTATTAACTCTCAAATCAGCAGAAGAAAGAAGATGCAATGATTAAAAAAAAAAAAATACTCAATCCAAAAGGAAGCAAGATAGAAAAGAAAAATAAAGGAACAGATAAGAAAATATAAAAACAAGATGTAGATTTAAACTCAAACATATCAGTAATTAAATATCAACAGATTAAATGTTTTAGCTAAAAGACAAAGATTGCCATACTGGATTTTTTTTAAAAAAATTAAACTGTAAGTTACATAGTAAAACATAAGGGGGTCGCAGTTGCACAACCTTGTGAATGTAGTAAGTGCCACTGAATGTTAACATGGTTAATTTTATGTTATGTGAATTTTACCTCAATAAAAAGAGAAATAGTAAAAGCATGGAAAAAATATACCATGCAAATTATAACCAAAAAGAAGCTTCTGCAACTATATTGATCAGACAAAATGGAGTTTATGGCAAAATTATTGGATAGATCCATTATTTGGTTCATGCTAATTTTTAAATTATCTTCTACTCAAGTGAACTTCAATTCTTATGAGAAATTATTTTCACCTCATATCCAGTTCATGAATCAAAGGAGAAATCACAGTGGACATTGGAACATATATTGAAATGAGAAAAGAATATACCTCACAATAAACTAAGGTGATACAGCTGAAGTGCATGTATCTATCAGGAAAGAAAAGCTAAAGAATGATTAACTTTTCTTAAATGGCAGAATAGACCCAAAAAAGGACGGAAGGAAATGAAGATAAGGACAGAAATTGATGAAACAGACAAGCACAAAATAGAAAACATCAGAAAGCTGAAATCTGGTTCCTTGCAAAGGCTAACAAATAATTTGTCTCACCATTGTCCAGTAGAATATAATGTAAGCCAGGAGTGTAATTTTAAATTTTCCAGTAGCCATGTTAAAAGGTGAAAGTAAACATATGAAATTAATTTTAATAACATATTTAACCATATATCAAATATCCCTTCAATATATACTCAGTACAAAAATAGTAAACATTTTACATTTTTTGTACTATTTTAAATCTGCTGTGTATTTGTCACTGTAGCACATCTACATTCAAGTAAGCTATGTTTCAGGGGCTCGGCAATCGTGGCTAGCAGCTACCGTGTTAAATAGTGCAGATCTATAGAATGGGAAAAGAAACTGCAGATATAACAGATGTTAAAAGGAAAATAATATGAGCAATGTTACACAGTAAACCTGAAAATTTAGATGTTTAAGACTCTGAGCTTCTAGAATATAACTTAAAAATACATACTCAAGAAGAAAGAAAAACAAATAGTTTTAAATCATTAAATTAGTAGTCAAATGTTTTCATATAGAAAATTCCAAACTTAGAAACCTTCATCAGTGACTCTTACCAGATCTTCAAGGGAGAAATAATTCCACTTGCACACAAATTCTTTCAAGACTGGAAAGAGAAGAAACTTGCCATCTTTTGAAACCAGCAAAATCATGATTCTAGAAACCAATAAGAATTTTATTGGTTGTAATACAAGTCTTACAATTTTTTGTAAGAAAGAAAGAATTATTGGCTAGTGTCATTCATGCAAAAACACTAAACAGACTATTAATAAGCAGAATCCAGAAATGTATTAAAAGAATAAACATGACTCAGGTTTATCCTAACAATGTATAGTTGCTTTAGCATTAAAAAGATCAGTTAAAAAAGGGGGGATGGGAGGACTGTAAAAAAAAAAAAAAAAAAAAAAAAATCAGCCAGTGTAACTTACCATACTAACTGATAAAAATTACAATCTACAGACACAAGTTTGAATTAAAACATATCCATTTGTTATAACTCTTGAAAAAATATTTGGGAACTTCCTTGACCTGTTAACAAATGTGGTCAAATAATCTAAAGCAAACATTAATTTAATGATGAAGAGAGGGAAGTATTCTCTTCAATATCAAGAAAAGGATGAGAATGTTGGCTATAATCATTTGTTAGTTAACAATGTCCTGAAAATATTAGTAAGAGATGTAAGCTAACAAAAATACTAACCCTATAATACTTAAAAATAAAGAAAAGGAAGAAATTTCTAATTCTATGAAGAAGCTATGAATGTGCACAGAAAATCCAAGAAAATCTATAGCTAAATTATTGGAATTTAACAAGCTTGCTTGAAAAAATCAATTATATAAAAAGTTTTTATATACCAACAAGAAGCAGTAAGCTAATGGAATTAAATACGAGTACCATTTATGGCAGCATCAAAAAGGCATTACCTAGGAATAAGGCTACCACAGTATATGTGAGATTTTTGTAGAGAATATCATCAAATTATAATGTAAAACAGAAAAAAAATTCATGTTCAAAGATTGCAATATTCAGTATATAAAAAGTTAATTCTCCACAAACTGACTTTAGCTTTGATGAAATCCCACTGAAAACGCAATGTTTTTATTTTGTTGTTTATGTGTTGAACTTGAAAAGTAGATTTTGAAATGTGTGTGGGATTTGCAAGAGACCAGGAATACCTAAAAAAAACACTTAAAGAATAAAAAGTGGGAAGCCTTGCTCTAAATATATCAAGGCATTATAAAGTTTTAGAAATTATAAACAATATGGGGTTCATACAGGGATGAGCAAATAGGCCAGAGACATAGAATAGGGGTCTCAGAAACAGATCCACCTATGTGTGTTCAGATGTTGCATAATGGAAAGTCATGTCACAGATGGAACAGGGAAAGGATAGGCCTTCAACAAATGATGCTAGGACAATTACAGTTGTCCCTCAGGATACGAAGAGGGTTGATTCCAGGATCACCTGCAGATATCAAAATTCCCAGATGCTCAAGTCCTTTATAAAATGGTATAGTGTGAGGCGAACGTGATAACCGCTACACTACGGAAACAACCTTATGGGCAGGTGGGAGGGGGGAGGGGGGCGGGTATATACATACATAGTGAGTGAGATGTGCACCATCTGGGGGATGGTCATGATGGAGACTCAGACTTTTGGGGGGAGGGGGGGAAATGGGCATTTATTGAAACCTTAAAATCTGTACCCCCATAATATACCAAAATAAAAAAAATAATTAAAAAAAAATGGTATAGTGTTTGCATATAATCTACACACATCCTCCATATACTTTAAATTATCTCTGGATTACTTATAATACCTAATACAATGTTAATGTTATGTAAAAAGTTGTTGTGCTCATTTTTCAATTTGTATTTTTTTATTGTATTATTTCTTTCCTGATTATTTTCAATCTGTGGTTAGTTGAATCCATGGATATGGAGGGCCAAATGTACCCATCCATATGGATGATAAAGTCTGTCATGTTCTGACATCTTTCCTTTTATGATATCCAACCAGGATGGAGTAACCTCTGAGAGTGGTTTCACAACTATTCTTTTGCAGTTTGGTAAAATGTTCTTTCACTGCTGCTGGCTGTCAAGACCTCGCCTCTGTTCTCATCAGCAATCAAAACCTGAGAAATCTGCAGATTGGGTTCAACGATATAGGAGATGTGGGCGTGAAAGTGTTGTGTGAAGCTCTGACACATCCCAACTGTCGCTTGGAGAAACTTGGGTGGGTATCACCAAGGTCATGGTTACATCTTCATGAATGGCAAAGGATGGAGAATTGATGGGCAGAAAGAGAAATCAAACTCCACCAGGGGCAACATAGCAGTTAGCTGCTGTTGCATAATGAACCACTCTAAAACTTACAGGCTTAAGATGGTGAGCACTTGTGAGTACTGGCTGATGGCTGGGCTGGGCCAGGCATCGCTGGCCTTGGCTGGATGTGCTCAGGAAGCTGTGGGTATCTGGGGGATCGGCTGGTCTGGGCTGGACTCACCACCTTGTGTAGAGGTTGACTGGCTGTCACCTGGGGATGACAGGTGTGACTGGACCACGTCTCATCCAACTGGGCTTGTTGACATGGCATCTGTATCAGTTTGCTAGGGCTGCCATAACAAGGTATCACAGACTGGGTGGCTTACACATAAATATGTTGTCTCGTGGTTTCGAGTCCAAGATCAGGTGTCAGCAGGGGTGATACCTTCTGAGGGCCTTGAGGGAAAGATGTGTCGGGAGCCTCCCCTTGGCTTGCAGACAGCCTTCTCCCTGTGTTTTCATGTCCTCTTCCCTCTGAGAATATATGTATACAATTCCTCTTTTCCCAAGGGGAGGGCCACCATCATGGTGGGGGAGGGCCACACTAATGTACTCATTTTAATTTAATTATCATGTAAAGATTCCATCTTCAAATACGGTCCCATTTGGAGGGTAGAACTTCAACATATGAAGGGGAGGGTGGCACAATTCAGCCCATCGTGGCCTCTTGGAGGTTTAAGAGATCAGGAAGCATAGAAGGCGTCTGAGATGTAGGCTCAGAACTCACATTGTCTTGCTTCCAGTGTGTTATATTATCCAAAGCAAGGGAGAAGGGCAGCCCAGATTCAAGGGCTGGGAAGTAGACTCTAACTCTCAGTGGGGTAGGCTGCCAAGTCACAATGCTATGGGTATGACCACAGAGAAGAATTGATAGTTGGGGCTGCTTTTACCATCTAAACAGAGGAAAAATCTGATGCCATAAACATTGGACTGAGATCTTATACTCAGGCTATGGGATGAGCCTTGGCTAAATGTCCAGCTCACATCCCACCTCTGCCCGAGGGTGGGGCTGCTTCCCACTGTTCTTGGATTTTTTTTTTATTTCAGGTTGCAAGCATGTGAGTTAACCAGTGCCTGCTGCAAGGATCTCTCTTCTGTTCTCACCAGTAGTAAGACCCTGTGGAGGCTAAACCTGGCCTGGAATGCCTTGGACCACAGTGGGGTGGTTGTGTTATGTGAGGCCCTGAGACATCCAGATTGTGCCCTGCGGACTCTTGTGTGAGTTGGGGTCTCTTCTTGGTGGGAAGAGTGCTCGGGGCTAAGAAGGGATTGCTTAGAACCTAAAACGTGCAGCTACTACAAGCTAATCACATTGCATTAAAATGCAAATAATGTCCCCTATCTTGGGGTTGGTGCATTAGTAAGAGACAGTGAAGTATAAAGCCCTAATCACCACAGTACCTATTGAATAGTGAGTGCACAATAGATGCTGGCATTTGGTACTATTGTAAATTATGCTATGTAAATTATAGTATATAAATATTTACATTTGGTAATCTAAGTTATATTTATATTTGTAAATATAAACTATAAGTTATATCTTGTTTCATAAAATATATAATTTATATTTATAAAAGTATGAGTTATATTTTTAATTATAAATATATTATTTATATTATAATCCTACAAACATTTTATTAGATAACTAATAAATCCTCAGCATTTATCTTTGTCATTCATTTTCCCCTACCTTTTTTTCAAACCAATCTGGATCAAGGCAATCATAGGTAGTTTTTAGGCCATTCACTTCTAAAAAGTGGAAACATAAGATGTTGGGTTGAAATTATAACTCCAGTGCTAAAGAACATTCACTTCTTTTCCCTTTTATTAAGATACAGGTTCATTCCCTTGAACTCCATTCTTCTAAATATCCATATAAAAATGTTGGATGCCTGGCATTATTTCTTTCTCATTTTAAATTGTGGTAGAAGTTCAGAATGGGTAGTGCCAGAGTTGATGCATTGTGACCTGGAGAGACTTGTATTGTCATTTTCTGTCCTAGAGGCTTGTGTTTGACTTCTGGCTTTTCCATCTTTAGTCCTATGACCCTGGGCAAGGCATTTGTTCTCTCTGATCATCTGTATGCAAAATAGGGGTCATTACTTGCATAGTAATTATGAAAATATACATCAAATGATGTGATAAAATATGATGCAATTAAATGAGTGAGTTTGCATCTCATCCTGCCCTGCCCCCAACCATGGTTAGTTTCACAAAGACGTGTACGAAGATAAACAATTGCACAAAGAAACGTAGTTCGCTTCAATAGTAAGATGAAGCTACTGGGGACACTTGCAAACAAAGAGATACCAAACAGAAACAGGAGATACCATGTCCACAGAAGAGGCAAGACACAGTGATCCTTAATCCTCTTGTCTGATTCAAAGTCACAAGATAATGTAATGTGTAAGTGTGGGGGCTCCAGAACCAAATTGCTGTGATCTGTATCTTGACCATACCACTTTCCAGTTTTGTGACCTCGGGCCAATTCCTTAACATGGCTTAGCCTTGGTGTCATCATCACAAATGAGGACAATAATGGTATCCTCTAAGGTTGTGAAAGCTTAATGAGATACACATGTAAAAGTCTAAGCAGAGAGCCAGGACCAGGTACTCAGATAGTGGAAACTATTAATACTTTATCTTTTTGAAAGTAAAAAGATCTTCAGTCTTCCTCCCTAGCTTCCACTGACTTTGTGTTCCAAACGCTAATGTTTTTGTGGAATCAGTGCTTGCTGTTACCGACTCTGGACATTTATTCTGTCTGGTGACATGTCAGAGCCAGCTCCTATGAGCTGATGGGATCCATTTGTGTGTATATTTTCATAATTTGGTGGGCAGTGACAGCAAGTTGGCAGCTTGAAGTTGGCCATGATTGGATTGGAGAATTTACACCACAGAAATGGGCAACGCTAAAAATCAGGGCCGTTTTTTTTGTTTTGTTTTGTTTTGTTTTCTTTTAGATCCATGGGCAAGTATTTATTAGCATATCACTGCATATGATGGGTATGCCTTTCCCCTTGGAGGCAATACCAGGCTCTCCTAGATTTTTCCTGGGAGAAAATGGTATAGAGGAAGATGATATGCAGAAAAGAAAAAGTGTGAATTAAAAATAGCACCTTTTTTTTTATACTTTATTAATTCCAGGCTGAATAAAGCTGAATTTGATGAGGAAACACAGATGTTCCTGATGACCGAGGAAGAGAGAAATCCCCACTTGAGCATCATAGTCGAATGACAGAGCAGAGACGGGACCATGGGGGTGGACACCTGATTACAGGCAACCTGGACTCATTCCAGCTCAAGGTCACATGCGAAGCCTGGGGGTTGGGGCTCTTACTTGTGCTTGTCTGTACCCAGGGATTACAAATCACTGACACTCTGAGATGAGATACTTCTGGCACCCTGTGCAGATGTGTTTCATATAATGTATGTCTTTATTTGCTCTTTGGCCATAGATGAACCATTGAAAGACCTTCATGATCAAATGTCTACCCTGTCTCCCAAAGACATTTTAAACACTCAATAAAGTATTATATCTTTCCTCTTATTTCAATTTCAAGATATTAAGGGGGTACAAATGTTTTTGTTACATGGATGCATCATATAATGATGAAGTCGGGGCTTTCAGTGTGCTGGCCACCAGGATAGTGTTTGTTGTACCTGATAGGTAAGTTTTTATCCCTCCCCCCAAGCCCTCCCCTCTTCTTGGTTTCCACTGTCCATTATGTCTTCATGCCTGTATGTACCCGTTGTTTAGCTCCCACTTATTAGTGAGAACACATGGTGTTTGTTTCTCCATTCCGGAGATACTTCACTTAAGATAATGGTCTCTAGTTCCATCTAAGCTACTGTGAAAGATATTTCATTCCTTGTTATGGCTGAATAGTACTCCATGGTATACATATACCACATTTTCTTTACCCATTTATGAACTGATAGGCACTTAAGTTGGTTTCATGTCTTAGCAATTGTGAACTGTGCTGTGATAAATATATGGGTTAAGGTGCCTTTTTAAAATTTTATATATATATATATAATATATATAAAATATATCTTCCTTTCCTTTGGGTAGATACCCAGTAGTCAGATTGCTAGAACGAATAGTAGGTCTATGTTTAGTTCTTTGAATCTCCATACTGTTTTCCATAGAGGTTGTACTAATTTGCAATCTCGTATCTTAAAATACTTTGGACAATCCTGAGTGGGGTTTGTTACTGGCGACTAGTGTAGGCTGAAAAACTGTGTTCTTCTCTCCGTGTTGACTTGGAAGGATGCTGGTGACATTGGGTAGCATGGGAAGGCTGCTCTGACGTGGGAACCCTTCTGTTGGTCCTACTGGGGTCCTAACTCAGCTCTTCTTTTCTTGCCTGATGAAAGAATTTTAGAGGTACATTTTTAAAATTCAGAAAAGTATAAATTGCCCATTCCCCTACCTAATACTACAGGTAAAGGAAAAGATCCTGTCTCGTGTCACTCTCCCTAAACCCCACAAGCAACCCTATCATGAGATTCATGGATAGCCTTCCAGTTTCATTCATGTACTTCTATATAAGTGACTTCATCTTTCAATGGCGTAGCATTGTGAGTTTTTCATTACATAGAAGATGTCACACTAGATGCACTATTCTGCAAGTTGTTTTCGCTGTTAGTATAACCATGATATGTACATATAAACACATATATACATAAATACATGCGTAAGGTCATATCAACACTAACAAAGTGGAAAACTTTCAGAATAATGCATTTAGTGATATGTGTATATCAACATGGATAAACAAAAACTGGCAGAATGTTTAGTGAGATGCATGTATCCATTTGCGTGTATCTCATCGTGGATAGAATAAAAGTGAAAGAACATATTATGAAGTATATACAGGGCCACTTTGTGTCATAAAAAATGTGATGTGTCTATATACCAACCTTTTTTTAACCTGACACACAGATTAGCAGTGTATATTTGACATTATCAGACAGGTAGGGATTGAGAAAGGAATAAACCACCAGCTTAACTAAAGGTATATTTGTCCTCAGCAGAGTAGTGAGAGTTCTTCTATGGATGGGAGGGCCATCCTGATCCCAAGAAATTTAGCTTTAAACATCCAAGTCCAGGCAATGCTGATCCTGTATTTCCATCATTGCACCAGACAAGTTATCACTTTCCTTCTCTCTAATCTCCCTTTGCTCCCAACACACCCTTTCTCAGTCTATAAGGGTTCCCCTTTGTGGTTCAAGAGAGCCTGAAGTTCAAATCAAGTTCTCAGTTGATCATGGGATGGGACTAGATTTCCAATTATTGGTATTGAGATAATGTGTATGGACCTAAGTACTGGAAAACAAATGCCCTAAGCATCCAGGCACAAAAAGAGTTTGAACTGGACAGTAAGTTTGAACAGTGCAGAGTGATGCTTTGTGATTACATCTCATGAGTCACGATTGTTCAGTGGAATAAATAGAAAAATAAAAGCACAAAATTAAATAGTGATATATGCACATTGGTTGGAGCTGGGGTAAACATCCAGAGGTGAGAAAGAGCTTTAAGAGTCTATTGCTTGGGAGCAAACCTGAGAGTTGCAAAGGGTTGAACAGGTGGTACCAATGCTTTATTATCTTGCTAGAAGTATTTTGCTTTCCAAAGCCCTATGCATTTATGATTTTCTTTTTTTTCTTGTTTATTTTCTTCAGCATATTATGGGGGTACAAATGTTAAGGTTACATATAACTTGAATACTGCACATTCAGAGTCCTAAGAATTGTCCTTTTCATCTTAACATGGTTAAAAAAATAATGTTTGCATATATTGCCAAAGTAAAATTTCAGAAAGTTAAAGACACAATTCTTATAGAAATATAGAATGGTTATGTGTCAAAAATGTAATATGCTGAAATAAAAATAAAATTTAAAATGTATTCAACTGATCACTAATAAGGCCAAATTTAACTTACTGGTTCTATTTCCAACTATTGAATAATTTTATTATTATATGCATTTGAATTTTCAGTACATTTCAAGTTATATACATTTTTTATTTTTTATTTCGGCATATTATGGGGGTACAGATCAGGCAATGTGTCCATCATCATCATCCCGCAGTGCACAAACCTGTTGCTCCTTTTAGCACCTCTGGTTCTTCTGTGTTTGGGTCCTGGGGTTCCTGAGTCTGCCCATGCCCTGAAAGAAACAACGGTGACTGGTACTGAAACATCGCAGAATGAAAATGGGCTAGCAGTGATGAAGATCCACAGTAGAACCAGCCCTTTCAGTGACAAACTTGGGATGGAAGAGATGGAAGGAACTGAAGCTCAGTGTAAAACAACAGCAGCAAAATGAAAAGAAAAGGAGGGGGGGGAGCGAGAGAGAGAGAGAGAGAGAGAGAGAGAGAGAGAGAGAGAGAGAGAGAGAGAGAAAATTGGGGCATAGGGGTACAGTCATTTGCCCATGGTTCTAGTGTGTCAGATGGAACTTTAGCCGTTGCAGCCTGATTCTGAAACCTGAGTTCTTAAACCCGTGGTCCCCAAAAGAGAGCACACGTGTGCCCGAGACACGTGTGTATTCCTCGACTCACTCATCAACACGTATCGCACAGCACAGGTAAAGCGCAGAGACCCTCACTGTGCTGGTCCCTAGAGGACGGGGCAGAATAAATCACGTAGGTCTCACCTCCCCAGCAATGTAGGAGATGATAAAGGTCAGCGGATGGACTGGAATAACTTAGGACATTCTAGAACTTTCCTCTACTTGAGAGGTATTCTCTGCACGATCCACTCCTTTAGAAAGCCAAGTAGGAACCAGACAAGGACCAGGGAAAAGGCTCCTCTATGGTTTCCAAGCAGGGGGTGTATGTTGCATTCTGGATCAGTGACCAGAAAGGAAGTTCTTTGACAGCATTCTCCTCCGTGCCAATTCCTCACTCTGGGTCTCTAGAGACGATTGCCACTCAGAACAGAATTTAAGGATTCTAGATCCCACTCCCTACTTTTCTACTTAACCTCTGCCTATTCCAAATAAGTGTATCTGAGGGATTTAAAAATGAGAGGGAGAGGGGAGGAGAAGGCGGCGTAGAGTTCTACTCCTCATCCCATCCTCCTGCCCACCAGGAAATACGCAAAGCAGACTGGAGGTTGCCTGCTCCCACTGCCACTTCTTAGAACTCACTCCTTCATTTTGGGGCAACAGAACAGGATATGGGTAACCATAGAGTGCTGGAGACCCAGGTTCAAGCCCCAGCTCTCCTAGTCACCAGCTCTGTGACACTGGGCAATTTAGTTAAGCTGTCTATGCCTCGGTTTCCCTCTGTAAATTAGGAATAATAGGACCGCCTTCTTATGAATGTAGTGAGAGTACAAAGGCACAGAAAGTATTAAGATCAATTTCCAGTTTGTAACAGGCACCAGTTTGTAATAGGCAGTCAGTTCTGCTATAAACCAACATGTGCATTCCTAAAACTCACCATAGATTAAACTTGGCAATAACAACCACAGGGTTTATGAGAAATGGGGTCAGTGGTGCATTTTTATTGTAAGATAGTAAGATGATTTACTAAAACTGAAATGTGTCAATTACATAAAGGTAACTGGACTAAACATTTTAATTAAATCTAACTAGATTAAATACAAAAAGGTACACTTTAAATATAAGAGCATAAAATATTTAAAGTAAATTAATGAAAACATATAGTATGAACACCCTAACCTGAGGAAAATGAGTATAGCTATACTATCCAAGTAGATTTTAGTACCACCAAATATAGAGGTCATTTTATAAGAACATCCCAACATATAAGAATCTATATAGAATTTAAGAAAATCATCAAGAAAAAAATCAAACAAACCCATCAATAAATGGGCAAAGGAAATGAACACAAACTTTTCAAAAGATGACAGAATAATGGCCAGCAAGCATATAAAAAGGTGTTCAACATCTCTAATCATCAGGGAAATGCAAATCAAAACTACTATGAGATATCACCTAACTCCAGTGAGAATGGCCTTTACCAAAAAGTCCCAAAATAACAAGTGCTGGTGTGGATGTGGAGAAATTGGAACACTCTTACACTGCTTGTGGGATTGCAAATTAATACAATCCCTGTGGAAAGTAATTTGGAGATATCTCAAAGAGCTAAAAATAGAAATACCATTTGATCCAGCAATCCCCACAACTAGGCATCTATCCAAAGGAAAAAAAGATTCTATAAAAAAGATATCTGTGCTTGAATGTTTATAGCAGCACAGTTTACAATTGCAAATATGTGGAAACAACCCAAATGCCCACTAATATATGAGTGGACTATTAAAATGTGTCATATGTATACCATGGAATACTACTCAACTACAAAAAACAATGGTGATCTTTTATATTATACTGGATAGAGATTGAGCCAATCCTTGGAAGTGAGGTATCACAAGGATGGAAAAACAAACACCACATGTACTCACCATCAAACTGGTACTAATTGATCA